ACGCTTCATTTTTACAGGCACTCCAGTGGTACCAAAGAGTACATTTACATGACAAATACTAAAAAAAAAATCCTGACGTTGTTACAGTCTACACTGAGTGGCAGCAACGTTCAAGGTTATCATAGTTAAACGCTGTCACTCATTCACCTGAAAAAATGCACATTTAACAGCCAGATTAAATTGATCAGACATGAGGGAGAGAGTGTTTCCTCAAATCAAAAAAACTGAGAAGATTCTCCAACCTGATCAGACATGAGGGTTTCCTATATCAAAAAAACTGAGAAGATTCTCCAACAGTCAGAGATCGGTGTCTTAATGATTCTTTTTCAATGTTAAAGTCTTTCTAATTCTAATTTAATTAATAATCATATACTTCATTCACACGGTGGTGACACCAGAGTGTTGAGGATCAGTGGTGATCAACTTTGCGAGGAGCCCATCACCCTAGTTAATCCATAGCCGGAATGGAACGCTCCCCCACCACTATGACTACACACACACAGACTCTCTCTTTTACCCTTACATATACACACCTCCTATTATCATTGGTCCCACCAGACTGAGGGGGAGGGGGTGAGGCAGGATGTGCTGACCAGCTGGTCATCGACTCAGACAAAGGAACCTGCTGAATGTGCTCTCGCATCTAAAAGAAACTTCAGATTCCTCACTCTTGAATCTTCATGGCCATGTGACACCTTTGAATCTCTGGCTTTTTAGGCTTGAAAACAAACCCCCCCTACAGGGCGGCGGCAAATTACACAAATTACAATGACATTTTCTTTTCTCAAAAACAGAGAAAAACGTCAAGTTTGACCTGACGGATTTTAGTGAGTCGGTTACTACATGTCAACGTTCTTAGTCACCGCACATCCTTTCTTGCAGCTACAGATCTGGCTACATCCAGTTCTTATGTCCAGATTAGCCTACGTATATTTGCCACATCATTTCACGTCTTCTAATGGTGAAGAATAGCATGGCTGTCCACACAAACCTACGGCAGGGAAGAACCAGAGAAACAGCGTGGCTTCACCACAGAGCGCCCTCTACAGCCCTTCACTCTGGAAAATGAACCAGGTCTCTGCTGCGGACTGGACTGGAAACTCAGAGAGGGACGACAGGCTTCACATCTAAACATTACCATGTGAGGTTACAGCACACGTCCTCTGTTTTTTAAAGCCAACTTTGCTGTGTGTACCAAAACACTTGAAGCTTTTTTTTTCTATAAATTACAAATAGCGCAGAAGATAAGCAGTGAAACGTCAACTGTCCAATCAGATAACTCTCCAGTCTCTTCATCAAGATAAACACCACAAAAAAAAACTAGAAAACACTTTTCTATCAAGGCATTGAATAAACTATGGTAGACTGAATCATGTTTAGTCACAGCTGAGTAAAGAGGCCTGAACTGGTCTTTGACCCCAGGGGAGCTGGAAGAAAACGCTCAGATTTTTATCACTCTAGTTGTTTTTTTCAAGCTCAAATATCAAATATGGTGGTCTGTGCACAGGGAGGTAAATCTGTGGTGATGAAGGGGTATTTTTCTGCCCGAGTGAGGCCCTTATCTGCCCTTTGGCCACAGAGCTGTTTCCACACACAAACAGAAGAAAATGAATAAGGATATTTCCGGCTCAGACCAGACCTGATCAGCTCTACATGAGAGCTCAGATTCTCTGCAATTGGTTGCAACAAGAAACCAGTTTCACAGAGTTGGCTGAGGACACACCCATCAGGGCTGAAGAACAACAAGAACATACCTGCTGTACCTGCAGCTCCACTGGCTGCCGACAGAAGGGAACGCCTCACGACGGGGAAACGTCAAATGCGTAAATATTAGAGTTTTGTCAGGTGGAGGAGGAGCAAGAAAAGGGAAAAAAAACATGACAGTGGATACGAGGGAGGAGATCAGGCTGGTGAATGGACGTCTTTGTTAACTGTCATAGAATTTCAAAAATAGCTTAAATTCAATTCCTTATTAGAATCTTTGGAGCGACAGATTCACTGTGACATAAAGAGAAACTTTTGTCTGATCACAATAGGACAAACCTTGCAGCTAAAAGCCCGACGACGACACACAGGCTCAGGTTCTAACTTCTAACCACAGTAATATAAGTAGCTCTTCAACATGGCACAACATTATCACCGCCAGCCCTGCAATCTTCTACCTCCGCGACACGTTGTTCTGTTGTTGGCCACAGCACTGACACATTTACAACACACATTAATATTCACAGTTTCTGGCCAAACATGGAAACATGAACCACGGTCTGGTGGTTTATGTTCAGTCTTGTTGCAGCTTCTCCATCCTTTTTTTCTAACTCAGGTTCACACCACTGTCCTGGAAGTCAAGTACGAGAAACTCTAACGCGCTGGAAACCTTTTAGTCACTTTGGTTATTGTTTAGCTAAACATCAGTTATAGTTTGACCATGTTCTGCAAAGACGTGAACATGAGGGAATAACGGACAACTTCAAAAACCCCAACACGTATTTGACAATTCAAATTGAAAAAATCTCATGATCAGAGAGACTAGTCTGTGACCCTACAGTATGTGGTGGTGAGTCACGGCAAAGTTAAACTCCCAGAGAGTCTTAAATCTCCATCTGTTCACTCCTTAAACCCTACCATGTGGACCAAGAAAACGCGGCCGCTCCACAGTAAAACGCAGCAACAAGCCATGCCTTAATAATGGATTCTATCACTGTGCTGTATTTGAAACAGCTGAATTACTGTGGGAGCATTGATCGTCCCATTGACGTCAATGTTAATAAGTCATCTTCACAGTAATAAAGATGACCTGTAGGTTGTAGACTGTGTCCTGGACGAGTGACAGTTTGTGGAGCCAATCATTCTCTGCCTTTAGCATATGTTTCAGCTGGTATATCCAGTTAGCATGCCTAGGTTGTTAGCATGTTAGTCATCAATCACACGTGCATGGGAGTGACTCTTTAGACAAACCTACCATGACATATATCACCATGACATACTGTAGGTACACACTACAAATTACACTACGACAACAGCGTTACATAGTCAGTGTTTTTGCTCTGGACAGTGTTAAAAGCCCCATCACTCACTCTGACCCACCGCCCCACCCCACCCCCGACTGATGCCCTGCTGACTCTGAGGCCCAGAGAATCACTAATGCTTCGTGTCTGCACGCTACGTGTTCACCACAACCACACAAGACGCTCTGTCACTATAGATTTCTGTCTCCCGGGGTAAACTGAGTACCACACACAGAGACGGTGTCGATCAGTTGTCGGAGGACTCCGTGCTCAAGCACCATTCAGTATATCAGGACACTTGGAGTCAGGTGACGGGTGAGTGGAGGCCAAGTGCAGCAAAAAAGTGAAGGCAGCAGAGAGAGACAGGACAGATTTGATCAGATTTATTTAATAGACTTATTTTTACCCCCAAAAAAGAGGCAAAAGTGTCACAGAATTATCTGAACTCAACTGCAACAAACAACAATCTCTAAAGTTCGGGTTCCTATAAACTCACAGGTCAACAGAGGTCAACACTTGAGCTCCTGTTGACCTTGACTCGTCCACAAACCCTAATGAGAGAATGTGGCCGCTGGACATTATCAACACTAACAACTATTCAACTGCCGGGTCTTCACACACACATAAACACACACACAGCCCCTCCGTCGTCACACACCAGGGGAACGGAGACCAGGCCACTGTTCATCTAGCACCTGTTCTGAAGAACACCAGCAACAAAAAAAACAACATCCTCCTAAAAATAAACTCCCTCCATCACTCAAAAAGAAGTTGTTGTTTTATTTTAAATAGTGGGAGTGTGGGTGTGGGCAGCAGTCAAACTCATTCCACACATGCCTTCCCACAATGCATCCAATCCAACTGGCCACTGATGCTATCACTATGGGTTACTCGCTGTGTGTGTGTGTGTGTGTGTCAGCTGGGTTTATCCCTCACACACGCAGGCTCCGCCCCCACAGAACCAATGACGGAGAGTGGTACCGTTTTCTCCTGCAACTCCAAACTACTACAGTTCCCTCGCCTCACGTGAATCAAGACTTGAAATGTACGTTAGCGAACAATTAAGACTTTAAATGCAGAGTTATACCTAACTTTCTAAAAGTCCTTTGACTTCTAACAGAGTAAATCATCTCCTTATCAAACCTAGAGCTTAAACCGACATCTGTGTTGGAATGTAAATAAACCTAACAAGCTCATTTGTACAGCAGGCTGCCGCAGTAAGAATGACTTCTGTGAGTGTAATCACCATTTTAAGATCAATTTTCAAAAACATCACTTCTCTCGGGCTTGGTATCGATTTTTCTGCTGTTATGCATTGCAAATGCGGAGTGACTGTGAAACTCTGTATCCCCCTGGGGATCAAGACAAAAAAAAACATCAGCTGATGCAGGTCATCAAAAATCACAGAGATCATTTCACCTGTCCTACAAAGTCTGATTGGAACAGGTGAAAACATCAACCCAGTGACGAGGTCCAACTGTTTTGATTGGTCCAGACCAACGAGCTATTTGGTTGGATGACCACAAACACATTGCCACAATCAAACACAAATTTAAAACACCTTTCAAAATGTAGAAACATTTTCTAGAGGCAAGACTGAATGAAATGAGTGACTTTGGCTTTAAAGTTTCCAAACTCTAGAGGAGCCAGAGTACCTTTGATACAGTTAATCATTTGTGTTCTTAATCCTTTTAAAATGTCAGAAATCCACAACTAGACTTCACTGAAGGAACGATGTGTTTTGACAAATATTCTAACACAAAATATTCACAAAATATATTATGTTCAGCTCAGCAGGCGTGGAGGCCACAGCGTTAGAAACAACCTGAGAAGGTAAAGCAGTGACTGGCAACAGTTCAGGGGCCTGTGCCACCTGACAGTCACTTTGAATGACTGTTCTAACTGGACGGAACAGTCCAAGGGTACGGAGTGACTTTGCTGATGGAGAGCACATATACAGGCACTCAGATGTAACGTTTCAAAGACAGCACATACCTTTGGTAGCTCTTTGAGTTGGTTGGCATCGAGCAGCAGCTCTTCCAGGCTGCGGCTGTAGCGGAATACCTCATCGGGAACGGTCTGCAGGTTGCAGTGTCGCTTGTCCACGGACTCGACGTGGCGGTTGCAGCGCCACAGGGGGATACACTTCAGCATGTCCGGCCGCCGTGGTGGGGGGGTTTGGTTGCCGGTGCTACTGATATCTCCGCATCGGAGAAGGGGTGCAGATGGGAAGGTCGCCGGGACAGAGGACGGGTTTCAGCGGGACTCACAATGTCAAAACACTCGGTGTGTTCCCACTTGCGATCCTGGAAAAGAAGGCCGAAATCCACTTAAGACACGGGGGAAAGAAATAATCCCTCCGGTCTGTCGCTGCGTTATTCCCAGTTTCAGGTCAACCGTGTTCAGGTACTGCCAGGCTCGCCCCAGCAGAATCCACCCCGGAATTAAAATTATCATAAACAACACCGACAACTCCCAGTTGGCTCAAACGTTTCCTCACTTCTTCTCACACACTCTTCTTTTACATAGACCGAGCAGCGCTAGCATGTTTCGCTACCGCCAAACAATCCTCAGGATCGGAGCTCCGCTCGGGCTAACTGGAAAACATGCAGCCAAATCCAGCGGAAATCTGCGGAGTAGTTGTTTGGAGTATCCCGGTCATGAATAGGAAAGCGGAATTCTGCGGAGTAGTTGTCTGGAGTATCCCGGTCATGAATAGGAAAGGCCGGTACATTTGCTCGTCCACGGGATGAACAGTTACCAGAAAACAGCCAACATGTCCCACGGAGAGAGTGAACAGAGATTAACGCGGGCACGGCTGCGCACGGACGCTCCGGTCCTCACCGGCTGTGTTGTTAGCAAGTTAGCTCCCGTGAGCTAGCGACGGCTAGTGGCTGGCTGTGGGCGCCTTTGTGCCACTCGTATCACAGAAACTACCTAAAAACAACCGCTGTTGACGGTGTGTGTAGAAGCACCATCCCCGGAGACGTTACGGAACCCGTTCACAGACTGCGCTTTTGTTGCGACGTAGCAGCGAACACAGGAGACTCAGCAACAGCCGCGCTCCCCTCACACCAGCAGCTTGTTGAGCTGGGGCTGGCGGCTCTGGGGTGTGGGGGGCTGAGCTCCGGCAGCACACAGGCCACGGGTGACTCAACAGCACCACCTAGTGTTCAGTGTGGGTTATTACACAAACATACTCCGGGGTCGGTTTTTTTTTAATGTCCTATCGTCGATCACTGTTGTTAGATGATTTAAGAGACATAAAAAAGTTTAATTTTCAATATTAAACCCTACCTCACACTAAATATATGTATTAAGTTAAATTTATTATATTTACTCCATTTAACTTAATAATAAAAACATCACACAAGCAACTACAGGTTCCTTCGTTATCAGGAAACTAAAAATTAAGTTCTTAAACATTTTCTTCAGCACACATTTGTTTATAAGGAGAAACTGGGCAAAAAACCCTCGTTAATGTCTATAACCTTTTGGCTGATATTGCATTAAAGACCTCGTTCTACCATGATGGGCAGAGCTGTGTTCTGAATACTTAGGAAAGTAATTATAAGCCTGCATAAAAAACAGAATGTGCTGCACAAAGACAAACCCTGGTTTATTGTATGCTAAAAGTTTCTAGTTCTCTGGGCCTGAGCTGATCTGAGACTAACTGTAAGATGATAGTTTTCTGTAGCTAGATGTGTGAATAAAAAAGTCTGATTTATTTTTAAAATGCACACCATCAATTAACTGTATGTAAATCTGACAGATGAACCAAAGTTAAAGTAAACTTTGTGAAGTTAATGTAAAAATTTGAAGCAAAGCCATTTTTGTCAATTGATTACAATTGCTTTAGAAATAGGTCATGACTTGACATGACAATGTTGACTTTTCAGTTACAAAAAAAGTCTCGAGCAATATTTTTTTTCTGCATATAAAGTAAAAACAAAAGTGAACGTAAATAAATTATTGACTCCATATA